AATATTCTTTGATGAAAACCAAAGAAAGTTCGTAGAAATTCCGGATGGATTGTAGCGGCAGGGTGTAGAACCAATCTTGCACCTCGCCTTGTAGAGTGGTGGCGAATATCTTGCATATGTGATCATCGTCGTTTCGATAAAGGATCATTGCACTTCGGTAGTGCTTTAAGTGTCTCTTCGGGTCTTCATCCCCTTTGAAAGATGTGAAATGTGGCATGCTGAACTCGCGTGGAGGCTCTGCTTGCTCGATCTCGTCCATGAAGGATGACCTGCTTATGTTGGTCATGTTCCGTCGTAGTGCCTCGTCGGTGACCTCGTTGCGTTGGAAATCGTGCAATCGCTTGGTTAAGAGTCTTTCTACTTCTTCCTGAATTTGCCTTTATTGGGGGTAGTGGAGCTCTCGGCTGCCTCCAGCCATGACTTGCTGGTCTAGGTTGCTCTTCCATGTGTTTGGCTCGTCTATACCTCGAATGCAGTGCATATAGTGCGTTCCTAGCAGGCGAGTGAGTTCTTCGCAAGCTGCTGGTTGAACTTGAGCTGGATTGAGTGACTGCTTCTCTCCGTCCGTCATGCTGCCTACTCCGATGTAGGGGTGGGTTCAAAAAACCGAAAACAGAAAAAAACCGAAAACCAAACCGAACCGAAACCGAAAAAACCGAACCGAACATAAAAACCGAACCGAATTGAAAAAACCGAACCGAACCGAATTCTTTTGGTTCGGTTCGGTTTTAGTGATCTAGAAACCGAACCAAACCGAACCGAACCGAATTAATTAAATTAATTTTTTTATTTAATTATTTGTTTTGGATATTATTTTCTAAACCCAATTTGTAAGTTAAAATATGCTAAACCCAATGTGTTGCCAAACTTTAAGCTCAAAATATTAAAAAAAAGTCCTATAAAAACTTTTAAACCCTAACCTATTATTTATCCCCCATATAAGGTTCCGGAGCCAAACCTCATCCTGAAGTACCTACATCCATCTCCATAGCACTGTCTACTTTTGTCTCAGCTTTCTTTTCCAAATCTACTCTCATATAACATGTAACAGAATCTATAAACATTTATTTCGGGTAGATTACTTAGGGAATTTGTGATGGAAAAGAATCCAACACACACTAAATAAATCCACCCACGCATTTCTTTTACTAATCAAGTTGTCAACATGCAGTTACAAGCAAACAACCCTGATCTTTGAACAACATCATACAATTTAACTTTTCTAAGTCATTTGTACGATTTTTGTGTTGTGATGTTGTTAGTTTGGACTTTGGAAGACTTGATTGATGATTTTAGTTCAACTTTAAATGTTTATTTTCATTGTCTTTTATTATAGTTAGAATGCTTGTGTTATGATTGTGTTGGATACGTTAAAATTTAAAATTTCAATGTTTTTCATTTTTTGAAAGAAAAAAAAAACAAAAAACCGAAACCGAACCGAAAAAAACCGAACCGAAAAAAAACCGAACCGAAAAAAACCGAAAAAAAAATGAACCGAACCGAACCGAACCGAAATTTCGGTTTGGTTTCGGTTTTGGCAAAAACCGAACCGAATTAAACCGAACCCACCCCTACTCCGATGCGAGGTGGATGATGCTCTTTGCGGGCTTAGCCACGAATGAACACTTCACCTGGAAGGTTGCTCATGTTGACTATCAAAGTGTGACCGAACCGTGAATGTATGTTCGTCCATGGGCCTAATCGAGAGTGCATGCTCCTCCGCACGCTAAAATGGGAGTATACGTTATCTCGAGGGCCCAATCGAGAGTGTACACTACCTGAATGCTCGGTTTGTGGCTGGTCGAGTAACTTTTTGCCGGGACGTTGCTGGAGAGATTTTTTGTCTGCCCTTGTCCTACTTCGGGACATCTTGTCTGGGGCACGTTGCATCTCAATGTGCTGCAAGAACTGGTTCACCAAGGTCGTCTGCTGTGTGAGGGCACTTGTCAACTCTATGACTTGTTGAGACAAGTGTTGTTCGCCACTTGGATTGGAAATGCTTGGAAGGAATGCGCCTCCTTGGGCAATGGAAGGGTGATAAACTCCGGGCGCGAGATTTGAGTAGGGAAATGTCAAATCCGCGAAAAGGTATGGTGAGAATGCCCTCGGCTTGATGGTAGGTCCGGATGGTTGAGATAGTCTTGGACCGACTTGGGTTGCTTGGAAAGCCACGGGAGCAGATTAGGTCGCAGGAGCAGGCTGGGCCACGAGAGCAAGCTAGGCTGCGAGAGTAAAATGCTCGGTGGGAGCAGGTTGGGCCATGGGAGTAGGCTGCTCGGCGGGAGTAGGCTGAGCCACAGGAATGGGCTGCTCGGTTGGAGCAGGCTGCTTAGAGTGTGATGCATATGGGTGCGGGGCTTGGGCTTGGCTTGGCAATGCGTTAAATTCGCGTTGGGTTTGGAGTGACATGGCTTGGCATGGCCTTGGTGCCGTGAGCCTTGGATGGCACGGCTCGGGCCGTGGTGAAGGCACCATGAACCTCGCCACGGGTAGCTACAGAGGTAGCCACCGCGGTGGTGCCCGTGGTGGAAACTCGTGATGGTGGTGCCGCTCCACTTATTGTCGCATTTAGCCTCACGGATCTCCGCAATCCCATTTCTTGAATATTAGAATTTTCACTTGTGGAATTTTCTAAATTTCTAGCCATTATATTTTTCTTATACGTTTTATCAAAGAACCTTTGCAAGTAAAAAATTCTAATAATAAGAACGTACGAAAAATATTCAAATGGACTAGAAAATAAAGAAAAAACCTTTTTGTGCGAGAGTCTTCTACAAGTATGGATTTCAACTCTCAATGAAAGCACCAATTTGTGGATGCAAATTTTCTCCTCCTTGATCTTGGACGATTTTGCACCTACAAAACAACTAGCACATTAGGTTAAGGCCAAAAACCTCATGCGCCCACGATGAATTGGGGGGGGGGCTTTGGCCGAAGAACCTCCGATGCCAAAGTTAGAATTTTAGAGAGAAATAGTGTTTAGAGTATTTGGGATGTTTTTTTAGGAGAATTGGAATTCGTGTTTGGTGAAAATGGGAACCAATATATGGGAGAGGAAGGGTGTGGCCGGCCATTAGGCCAAGGATGATTTATTTTGGGGGGTTATGGAGATAATGGGCTAGTTATTTTGGGGAGTTATGGAAATAATTGGCTAGTTAATTAGCAAATAATAATAACCTAATTAACTAGCTATTTGAATGTCATAAAAGGGAAAGAAAATGGTAGCAAAAAGCAAAAAATAAAAGGCATGGCTGGCCCTAGTGGGTAACCGGCCTTTGGTATGTTTTTTTGTTATAATTTGATGGTTTAATTGATAATTAAGGGATTGATTAGGTAATTAATCCCTTAATTAGTCAATTTTAGGAAATATGAAAGGAATATATTATTTAGCTAATTTATTAGCTAAATAATGGAATATAAAACATATAGAATAAATTAGATTTTGGGAATTACCTTATAGAAATGATTTGATGAAATAGGCTTTAAATTGTTACCTATTTTGGGCACTTTTGACTTGGTTGAGGACAATTGTCCGCCGCTCGCGCGTAGGAATCTCGGTATGCCTCAAGGGTATTTTTGTCCTCTTTTACCCAAAAATTCACGTGTCGCCTTGTGATTATTTTTTGCTCCACATGTACTGTTCATTAAAATATTAATTTCTTGGAGGGCTAAAGGGCTAAAATGAGCCATTTGACCCTCTTTTGGTTGGAGATAGCCTTAAATTTTAATTGGTTTGTTTATCATTTTTGAAGGGAACACAAATTGGACCATACAGACTCCTAGTTTGACCGCATTTTGGGTCTACTATGAAGTCGGGTTTTAAAGCCATCTCCAATGGCTGGCAATGTGCCCAACTAAAGCTCAACTTGATTAAAACCCCATCTTCATTGTTTGTTCAAATCGGGCTGGTTTCGGTGAAAAATAATTGCGAATTGAACCAAATTACACTGTTGAGCTCAGGTTCAATTGGGTTTCGTTGAGATTTAAAAGCTCAATTATGTCAAATTTGGCTCACAAATTGAGTAGATCTAACTCAATTGCGGCTTCTAATGTTGTATGTTGTCATTGATGGAACTGAGGTGGGGAGAGATAAAATGTGAATGAGTAAGGGAGATGTGAATTATATTTGAGCCACTGGGTTTGGTTTTGGGGAGATGGATGGTTTAATATAAAGGACAAGGGGAGTAGTTCGGTTCAGCTTGGTTCAAACTGAAGGTTAATATAAATGAATTCATAGTCATATCGATTCATACTTTTTTGGTTTGGTTTGGTTCAATGTAAAAGTTATACTTTGTGGAAAACCAAACCAAATCACAAATTCGGTCCAATTTGGTTGGTTTTTTTCCATCCATAGAATGTCCATACTTGTGTCAAAACCTATTAGATTTTTAGCAAGCTCCCCATTTCTTATAGTTGATTGCTAATTGTAGATATAACTGAAGTCTCGTTACCATGTGACATTTTATGGAATCCATCATTTTCTTTCTAGTTTATGTCCTGTTGTCAAAAGATAAAAACCCTACCACTTTTTTCTTTTCCTTGTTTAGTTTTTTCAACAGCTCTCTTAGATTTTTTTTTTTTTTTCCAGACATCTTTTTCCCATTCTTTTTGAACTTTGAAAGAACTCCATGAGTTCCCTCTTCCATTAGCTTTTCACCACCTCTCCCTTTCTCTCTCTTTCTCGTGTGCCCTTGTAACAGTCACGAATATAGATAGCATCCACCCAAAAAGCTTCAACTCACTCACACTTTAATCATGACTACCACAATCACACCCACCCATGCTTAATCATTTAATTAATTAATTTAAACTCAAATTCAAAGCTAATTATAAAAATTAAACCCAAAGAACCTAAAAGTTTAACAACAAAAAACAAAATTAATGTAAATATTATTTCAAATTAAAGCGAACCACAAAAAAAAAAGATAAACAAATGATAGTTAAATAAAGCAAATTGCAGGCATGCTAGAGAGCATATAATTGTTTTTCCATATTTCAAGCTTTCATCAAGAAAGCTAAAACCTTCTAAACATTGGAACCACATATAGCTTTCTAGAGGAAAACTTTTTTTACACTAGAAAAAAGTGACTTTTGCACACCATTCTTTCTCTCTTGACACAACTACGTTTACCTGGCAAGAGGAATGCTAGCAATTTTCTCATTTCAACCGCAAACTCATATTTCTCTCGAGAGACAACTATGTTTATCCGACATGAGGAATGCTAACAACTTTCTCATTTCTCCTTATACCACGTATACTCAATTTGCACTCAAAAACTAAATTTCAATTATATTAAAATCCCATTTTTTCCTAAAATATAATTGAAATTTTAATTTGTCAATCACAAAATAATTTAGTGTTAGTGGAACCGATGGACAAAAATAAACTAGTGTGCAGAAAAATAAAAGAGACGTACAAAAATCGTTTTCCTTTTTAACTTCCTATCCCCACCACCGGTCGTCGACCACCACCACCACCGCCATCAACTTTAAACATGCACAGGAAAAGGAGAGTTTGCATGCGAGTGCTGCCTTAGCCATTCATACGTTCTGTGATGTGAAAGGGCCTGCTTTTCCTTATGTTTACAACTTTGCTGCTGCTTCTTGTTATTCTTCCTCGTCATCATCTTCAACTCTATCGCTACTTTTTCTTCCGACGCGGCATGCATCGAATCAGCTGCTGCCGCTCTTACACCACCACCTTCATTGATGTGACTTGCACTACTACTCCTACCGCTGCTCGATCGGCTCTTGAAAATCACGTTATCAGACGCCACCATTTCGATCGAGCACTTGCAGCCATGAACACTGCTAAAAAAGCTCTGCTTCTTCTGTTTCAAATTATCCGACTTCAAACCACTAATAGCACTAGCAGCATTGTTGTAACTGGATATGAAACTTGTACTGTTGGTGCTACTAACACTGCTATTTCGACTGACGGAATTTCTCGCGTTGTTATTCGCGCGAGTACTAGTACTACTATTGCTGCGAAGTACCTTGTTAAAATCCTGCAATTCCATGTCGGGAGTGCGCACCAAACCCAACCGGAAAAAATCCCACATCGAGGACTTATGATGCCGGCTGCCCGCCTTTTCTAATCGAGAATTCGGAATTTTGATTTGCGGTTTTGGACTTGGTTCTGTGTAGAATTGGTTTCTTGGTCTTGCTGCTCTTGGCTTTGAAGCAATGCCTGTTGTGGTGGTGGAGCTGGTGCTGCTGCTGAATGATGAGTTGTGACTAATTCTGCTTCTACAACTGCTGCTTCTGAGCCCGACACCGCTCAACGGACACTGCCTGGTTGGTCTGTTGGAGCGGGTATCTGAGCTGATGGAGAGGCGGAGAGGAAGAATTTGGCCTTGGAAGAACACTTCATCTGCAGCACACATTTTTGTGTCTGCCAACAAATTATTCAACCCGCCACGCATCGACGAACAGAAATCAAATTCTTGATCTTGCTTTTCAATGGCGACATGGGAAGACTCAGATTTGAGATTGAGATTGGAAAATTGTGTTTGATCCTGTTTGATCAATTTCACTGGAAGATCACAAAGTGACACTTCTTCCTCTTCATCTTCTTCTTGTTCTTCCTCAAATTCGTCAGCGTCGGAGGCAAAATCTTCGTCAAGGAGTACTCTTTCTTGTTCATCATCAGCAGCAATGTTTGGAACTGCTGCCATTGTGTTTTCTGAACTGGGGTTCTCCTATTTTTTCTTTTTCTTTGTTTATTCCTTGTGAAGAAATGAGGGTTGCAAGTATGTTGAGAAAATGAGAGGATTATAAATAGAGTTGGGTCAGAGGCTTAGAGGGTGTGAGGAAGTGAGACATGTGGAATATAAAGAGAGGAACATCCCAAATTTAAAATATAAAAAATATAGGGAGTGATTTTTCCACTCGCTTTACCTTTTAATATTATTTTTTTAATTAAGTATGAAGTCTTAAATTTGACTTTCTTTGTTTCAAAACAAAAAAAAAAGTTTAACTTTCTTAATGACAAGTTTGATATGAATTATGGATATAATTCATTGTATGATTCAGTACAATCTCATTTGCACTATTTATGTATATAAAAGAAAAAGTGAATTCAAATCACTCTACGCAAGGAGATAGTCTCCATTGATATTATTGCATAATTCCAATAATGCTTGTTGCATGTTAAAAAGTCACCTCAATTATCTAATAGATGTTTGTCATGTGGTATCATCTGATTGTAAAGAATAAGATAATGAGTATCAACTATCAAGTAATATATTTATCATGAACCGTTCATTTGTATTCTCTCATTGAAGATGCAAGTCTTGTTCATAAGAATATCTGGACTACTGGAGAAGTGAAAACGATGTGTGCCAAAATATATGTGATGAGAAGCAAGTGGAGCGCCGAAAAAGCAATAAAGAAGGAATAAAAGGGGAGAGGGGGAAGGCAGGCGACCCAATGGAATAGTGGTGTCTCCTCTTCTTGTTTGGGAGTGACTAAAAAGGAAGTGGAATTTGTGGCCTCTGGGGCCGGCCATTAGCTGAGACCGAGATTGTCTCTATCGAAATTATGAAATCAAAGTGGATTGCCTTCCATTGCATGCCTAGCTCCAAGTGGTGTAGTACGATCGTTTATGATCATTCATGGGAGTTGAGATTCCTCCTTTCTTTTTTCTTTTTTCTTTTTGGGTGAATGAAGGTGTTTCTTTTGTTTATATGGTTGATCATATAGAGGATAGTCTTAATAAATAGATAAAAAAATTATGAAAGAATTCATTACATCATGTGATGGGGTGGCAGTATTTTTATTAAGATTATTAAGGTTTAAGCCAGATTTCAGTGGTTGTAAAGTAAGAAGCATTAGCGGGCCAACTTGTTATGTTGGACTTTTGTAAGTCGGGTTCTAGAAGCGATTTTTTTGGGTTATGACTTTCGCCGAGAGTCTCATGTGTAAAGAGACGTCTATCTAATTGAAGATGGAAGTCTTGGCCAAACAAGTTTTGCAGTTGGTAATAAGTCCAACGAAGAAAATTCGTCGAGGATTTTAACTTGGGTTAGGACGAACCAAGGTGTATTTTCACCTAGGTTCATTTAGGTACTGTTTGGTACGCAGACAGGATGGAACAGGACGGGACGGGACGGAACAGATGATGTAAATATTGAAAAAGATAAGGAGAAATTTTGTCATAAAATGTTATAAATTTGTGTTCCACGGATGTGGAACGGGTCGTTCTAGGGAGAAGAGGTGGAACGAAAAATCAGCCAAATTTCGTCCCATGGGACAACCCCTTCCACAGTTTTTAAGTGCACCAAATGTGGGACGGAACGGCTCGTCCCGTTCCGTCCTGTCCCGTCCCACGTACCAAACGGTACCTTAAGGGATACGGCTAACCAGCAGACAGTGGCGGAGCCAATGTGGGCATTGGCTGCTACTGACCCTAACAACTTCTAATATCTCCCCTTTAAATACTTAAATGACTCTTATAATAGCTAAGGCAAGCACAATAGAGACCATTTATGATTATTTCTATTAATAAATGAAAAGAGGGTAAAAAGACAACTAAGTCTTCTATCACATAAAAAAAATGATAGACAATAATGTAATTTCACATGTCCAAATTTTATTATTTTTTATTGAAGCCTCACTTACAAGTGATGTTAAAATATCTCTAATATTTAAAATTAAAAAAAAAAAAACCAAAAAAAAAAAAAAACACAAAACCTCACACTCCCCCCCCCCCCCCCCCCCCGCCCCCACGTTCTCTATCTCTCCCTCCCCCTTTCTCCTTCTCATTTTCTTAAAAAATGTGTTCATACACACAAAGTGTGTAGGCGAATACTAGTTTTTATAATTAAATCATACCAAAGCTACAACGTTTTCAAAATAGAGACAACTTTTCTAATGATAAATATTGTAAAGAATCCACATCATATGAAAAATCAATGGTTGAATGATAGCTTGGTTGTATACAATAAAAAATGAATGAAAATCAATAGTTAAATGATAACATAGTTATATATGATGAAAAATATATTTGATTATGTTGATTGTGATACGACATTTCTAAAATATGAGAACATATCGTCACCAATTACAAATGAAAGTATATATATTTAGATTTCAGAAGCTTCTTGTTCGTCACCCCATTATGGTAAATTTCTGAATCCGCGACTACTAGGGAAGACCTAATTCGATATAGATATGAATTGGTTAAAAGATAAAATCATGTGTGGCATAGTTAAATCTCTTTTTGGCCCAGCACAAATATCAACTTGTTTCAAACTGAAAGTTCGAGTTGGCAACCTGTGAAAACTGTTTAACATTTAAGAGAGTAGATGAGGAAGTTGTGCTAGTGCCGATGCTGCTTGCGCTAGTCATTTAGGGGATTACTGTTTGTGTGTGAAAATTATCTCCAAATCACTGAAAAAATGCAACCATTGCGACAACACTTATATTTGTACTTGTTCATTAATGAACTGCTATCCCTTGTAAAAAGAAAAGCCTCATTCATGATGTAGTTAGGTCCTACATTTACAAAATATAACATTCCTTATAAATGTATGACAATTACCACCAGCGAGTGGAAACTAAGAGTATTACAGAAGCAGTCCCAAAATACATTTCTTTTTAAGTTTACCACTTCTTGATCTCTCCCTCACAAGATTGAAGAATATTCAAAATCTATCAGATATACCTAGTTTGCCATTTTGATTCAATTCCAAACTAATGTCCCTTAATCTTGCCTTCTCCAAGATCAATTGTAAGAAAATGATTAAGGGAATGTATTTGAAAAACACACACACACACAGACACACACACAATATACGAAGAACTTGAGCGACCAGAATATGATTGTTAATGTCTTCATTTTAAGAAAAATGCCGGAGTCGTCCCTGCGCCTACGGGCATCGAATAATCAACATCAACCATTATCCCTGCAACACACAGCTTGAATCAACTACATGATCCCAAAACAAAATGCAATTCACACCAAACGCAAACTCGCATTTCTATTGGATCTTCACACAAACACATGCATCTGTTACCAATCAAATATCTTCATAACAAAAGGCAAAAAAACAAGCAAGGAAACTAAGGAACTCCTTGTTGGTTAATAGCTTCAGGGGCAGAAATATCACCCTGAGAGGAGACAGTGGTGCCGGAAACGGTGGGGGCTTCTGTGGAGCCAGCACCTCGCCCTGGCTCCACCTGTTGGTGGCCTTCCGTTCCGTATGCCTGGCGCTTGTAATCCTCCAGGTTATCGTACTGCAGGTACGGACTGTCCTTCATCGGCAGCTCTTCCTCCACCTTCCCTTTTGCTTCGCCCTCAGCTGGCTTTCTGCTCTGCTGCTTTTGGTTGCTCGCCATCTCAGAGATCTTGATTTCTAGGCTATTTGTCTTCCAATATTTCACTGGTTTTCTCATGGTTTGCATGGCTTTTATGATGTTTTGGTAGTGCTCTCTGACTCTGCCACGTGTTTGGATGAGGACACGTGTCGCACAATGTGGCTGGTCAGCTACAATTTTCTTGTGCAGTATGCTACATATGTCGACGACAATAAAATCGGGTAAGCTAAAAAAAGGACAACAGAGTAGGATCTGGGAGAAGACACGAATTATGATCCAATTCTTATGAATGAGGATTTTCTTTGGATTTTCTTTGTGAAGATTCTTGAAATTTTTAAATCGTGTTTGTTCATCGTATATAGTGCAGTAAAAATTATTTAAATATTTTTATTTAAAATTAAACATGAACAATATCGAATGAAAACTGACCTCACGATATACGAAGAACAGACACGATTTGAGGATCTCCGATCCGAAGAGGATCCTCATTCCAGTTCTTATAGTCTATAGATATATGATATGATTTTTTTTGGTCAATTGGAATTCCATTAAAAAGCAACATGGAGAAGAGAATACAGATAGACTCCTTAGAAAAGGAGAAGATAAGCACAACTCTTACATAGAGCAGGAACAGACATGTTCCAGTAAGTAAGAACTAGCTATCTAGCCAAACAGGCTGCCAAAAAATCTACCTACACCCAAGATGGAGGGGCTATTCCGGCCCCACATGGGGATTATATAGAAGAAGGACAAGGGACGCCATCCCTAGACAGAACACCGACAAAAGAGGGAGCAGGCACAGAGTCCCATTTCGAAGAGCACACCCTTTGTATCGCCAACGATGTAGCTGCGTGAGCTGCTTTGTTTGCTGACCTAGGAATCCATTTCCAATGAAGAGAAGAGAACAAGCAAGCATGTCTCCTTATTTCTCCCACAATGGGAATGATTTTCCACAAACCTGATCAAGTGTCTTTTCTGAATTATGTCCATAACATTTTTGCAATCATTTTCCAAAACCATATTACGATGGCCGCAAGTTTCAAAATTTCAAATATAGTTTCAGCTTCCACTTCTTTAGGTGACGACCGAATCAAATCAGACTACCCACTGAGTCTCTCATAACAACTCCAATGTCAACTGCTAATGGATTGCCCTTCCAGGCGCCATTTACATTAACTTTGATCATGTGATATGTAGGAGGGCACAATGCAACAACCTGCAGTCCATTCCCACTATTCCCTTTGCGTGACTAATTCTAGATCGGTGACTCATAATTTCAGCAACGGACAAACGACATTTGTGGTTCACTTGGACAGGAATGGGAATAGAATCATTGAAAGACACTCTACACCTTTCTTTCCAAATTTCCCAGCAAGTAATCCCAAGAACAATAATGAGCTGATTACAGTCAAGTACTGGAGACGATTTGATCATCCCTAAAAACCATTTATCAAACCTGATTATACAATGTGGGCTCGGTAAGTAGCTTAAAAGATAACCAAACCACATCGGCCGAGTCCATGGACAAAGCAACCACATGTGTTTAATCGGCTCATCATCTACCAGCCAAATAGGGCAACATGCGTTGTTTGCAAGATGTCTTCGAGATAGGATCAACTTGGTTGGGAGAAAAGAAGACATAGCTTGCCACAGAAAGTTGCAAATCTTAGGAAGTAACTTCACACTCCAAACAAACTTCCATATTTTCTTGTCGACTTGATGAGAAGAGTGTTGGTGGACAACAATATTTTGATATTTAAATTTGAGTCTCCAAAAGTAACCACTTTTCACTATGTACACACCATCCTTCGTCCAAGGCCAGATAAGACGATTCGGGATATCCAACAGGTAAAGCAGGATAGCACGAATCAGACTCATATCTTCTTCCTTCAACAGATGCTCATATATACTCAAATTCCACGTTGAGTCTTCTCTCCCAATCAAGTCACACATAAGAGACAGAGCACATCCAGGTAGAATTGCTTAAGGAGTGGGCTTCAGTCTTTCCATATCGGGGAGCCAGTTGTCATTCCATGCCTTCACAGTTTCACCATTACCAATCTGCCACAAAGCACCATTTTCCATCATTTTTCTACACTCCAAAAGGCTAACCCAAACCCATGAAAGATGTGAACCTCGAGTAGCTTGAAGGAAGTCACAATTTGGAAAGTAACGTGCCTTAAGAATTATGACCCATAGAGCGTCGGGGTTGCAAATGATTCTCCAACACTGCTTCCCAAGAAGAGCATCATTGAAACTTTCAATATCTCTAAATCCTATTCCTCCTTTAAACTTGGGGTTGCATAAACTTCCCCAAGTACTTCAATGAATCTTCTTCTCGTCCTCACAATCTCCCCATCAAAAACTGCTCATATCTCCATTAATAGTTTTGCATAAAGTGGTGGGAAATTTAAAGCAAGTCATCGGATAAGCCCAGGACCGCGAGAGCCATGACTTTGATAAGAACTTCTCTCCTCGCCATTGACAAGTGAGAGGCCTTCCAACCCTTAATCTTCTTCGAAATCCTTTCTCTGATGTAACCCAATGCTGCTCTTTTAGACCTTCCCCAAATAGATGGCAATCCCAATTACACCCCCGGGTCATCCGTAGCTGGAATTCTTATAATTGCACACATTTCTGTCTTGGCATCCACCGTAGTATTGTCACTAAAGTAGACAGAGGATTTATCATAATTGATTTGTTGCCTTGAAGCAACGTAATAAACATCGAAAATCTTCATAATATTGTGACAATTCTCCACAGTGGCACGAAGGAAGAAAAGTCAGTCGTCGGTGAAAAAGATAGGTTATAGCATGGGGCCACCTCTGCTAATAGTCATCCTCTGCACAAAATTCACATTAGTAGCATAACATATGTTTTGTGAAAGCACTTCGCTCACCAAGAGGAAGAGGTAGGGAGAGGATCCCCTTGCCTCAAACCCCTTGATGGGTTGAAAAACTTCCCCGGCTTCCCATTGATCAACATCAACAAAGAAGTAGTTCTAATACAACGCCACCCAAGAAATATCAAACCCCATTCTCAACATATATAGTCAGGGCCGGCCCTGAGAATTTAAGGGTCCTGTGCAATATTTAGATAGAGGCCCTTCATCTTTTTTAATACTGTATTTTCTTTGTTATTTTTTTTCAATTTGTATCTATAAAATTTAAATACTAAAATTAGAGCACCAAATTATAAGTATTATTTGAGTGGACAAGAGTGCTTCCTGTCTTGAAAGATCTTCAGTTCGAAATATGTTGCATGGTTTTTTTGCATAAAACTTATCAACTTTTTAAGTTAATAAATTTGCAAAACTTAAAAATAGCAAAATAGTTCCACAAGGACTTGAACCCAGGCCATGTACAAGAAGATTGAAAGCTTACACCACTAGCTCTGGTATGGTAATTATCATTATCTTGCACATTTAAGTACATAATATGTATCTGTTTACATGTAAAGAAAATTTGGGGGCCTTTTCGAATCGGGGGTCATGTGCAGTGTCACCTTTTGCACACCCTCAGGGCCGGCTCTGTATATAGTCTCCTCCAAAGGGTCCCACTCCACCCTATCATAAGCTTTGTTCATGTCTAATTTCAAAGCCAACTCACACCTCTTTCCTTTTTTCTTGAGTTTCAAGTAGTGGTAAGCTTCATAGGCTAGAAAAAGATTGTCATGGTTTTGACGGTTAGGCACAAAAGCATTTTGGTGGTAGGATATAATATATGGTAGGATGGTTTTGAGGCGGTTGGAAAGAACTGTCGATAAAATCTTGTAAGAGTTGTTGCAAAGGCTAATAGGTCTGAATTGGCTTGTATTTTCTGGGTTAGGGACTTTCAGAATAAGGGCAATATGGGTTTTGTTGAGTTGGTGTAGATATAACAAACCATCCATAAATTCCTTGGTTGTCCCTACTATCACTTCATGAACAGTATCCCAAAATTTGTGGTAAAACAGCCCCGGAAAATCATTAGGGCCAGAGGTCTTCAAAGAGCCAAGTTGAAAACATGGAAGTTTTTATGGGGAAGTGTTGATTTATCATAATATTAATTAAACGGCTCAACGATTTTGAGTTGTTATATTTTACACAAATGATTCATTATGGATGGCATAACTGTTTCGATTATGGTACATAATTACAGAGTGCGGTGAAGAATGAAGAAGGAAAATAGAAATATGTGCACAAAGAAAGACAGGTCAATAGTAGTATGTCATAGTAACATTTGAAAATGTGAATGACTTACATTCCGTGTCAATAAAGTTATTACATGTGTAAATTTTCATTAAATGTCTTTATTTTATTTGCATAGAATGTCACTGTTGACCCTAGAAACTACAAAGCCTACGTGGCGCGCAGGCCGAGTAATTAATGAGCTAACTACGTCCTTCGGTGAATGCGGGGCGTGCCAACTCGTCGGCCGAGCTCGGCCGAGGAGTAAATTTGTTGATGTTGCGTTGGGTCGCGCTACTGACTTCTACGTCTTGCGATTGCGGCCGAGAAAGGAACACGTCTCGGCCTCTTGGGCTCTCAAACCTGAAGACAAGGTTACTATTCTTACGAAGTTCAATATCAAATTCGGCTTTCAATGTGCCGAATGTAATAACTGTAACACCTCACTTCGCCGAAAAGGCTAATGAGATGACCTCGACCAATAAGGATTTAGAAACCCTTCTCGACCGAGACTTGGTTAGGTAATCAATCGTTCTCGCCGCAGTGCTGTTGATGCCAACGGAATATACTGCGAGACCGACTGACTCTACGGTGACAGAGCTATCTATGCCGACTTAAGATATCACCGGTTGCTTCCACAGTGCTGTGTTGATGCCAACGGAAGATGTGTCAGCGAAAAAGGGAAAAGAAAAATCACAAGTTGTGAGAGTTTGCGCAGGGCAATTTTGAATTGATTTGCAAGGGCTTTTTCCGTTGCTGAATGTCTTGTATTTATAGTAGCAGAACACCGAGTCCGAATTCCAATCCTATTCGAACTAGGTTCCCTTCTCCGGATTAACATTACCTCGATCAGCCCTATCTCTGCTAGGACTACGAATCTAGTCCTTAACTGAGCCGGATTCGCCTTCTAGTTTACTGATCTCGTCGAGAGTCCCTATTGTATTAGGACTTGACTTGCA